TTGTTGAATTTTAATCTCAATTTCACTTTATTGACGGATTGATTACTGCCTTATGCTTGATGTATATGGTCGATCTTTGATCTTGTTCCAATAAAATTGTGCGAATATGTCTTAAGTCTAAATTCTAGGATTACATTTGTAAATTAAATTGATTTTCACGATATATCTTCCGAATAGAGTGCCGAGATGAAAGAGTCTAATTGTATTATAAAAATGAATAATTGATATGATCGATCCAATCCAATTGAGGAAATTCCGACGCTTCACTGCTTTGAATTATTGATTTTAATTTCACCTTTCAACATTAAATTTTATTACACATTTGAGAGAACAATTCAGCCTTTTTGATCCTTTAAATATTCTTCCATCTCCCTGTGGATACGACACACCAAAGCTGTGCTACAACTACCACGTTATTCTTTGGATACGACATCGATGGCACAATACCTTTGTGGTTCGTCAGAGTCTTCATCTTTTCTGACATGTGGTTCCCTAAGTGATTGGGACTGTCTGCTTGATTCTGATGCCTATTCTTAAGTGGAGGGTTCTTGGGCAGATTGCTATAAACGGGTTCATTATGCTTTTCTAACTGATGTGGCCCATGCTGCTTACTTTTAGGTGCAAATGGAGGCTAAACCTGCCTAATTGTGGGTCGCCAATGGCTTAACATGTTGAAGACACTTATGGATCTCTGAGACATGTCTTATTGTTCGTAATTTGGAGAAAATTTGAATGGGACCTCATTGGGTCGATCCGTGGCAAAGTTGGTGGATATATCAACCTTAACTTCTCTTTCCTAAGGGTTTTTCTCTTACATATAATGTTGGTAATCAACCATTTGACTTTGGACCTCCTATTCACCATTGAAGTAGTTTTCTTGCGGAGGGTCGTGAAAGAAAGCATTCCCTTGAGCTGTGTAAGGGGGGATTGAATATCGTCTCTCGCTTTGCATATTCTTTAGTAGCTCATGCATGAAAATAATATCTCTCAAGTTTGTAGCCATGGTGGCTCCTTCCTGGTTAGCCTAACAGCTATTCTAGACCTACCTTATCATAGTTGATGTAATCAATAGCAAGTTGCCAGAGCATCATGTGAAGGTTCTCCTTCTTCAGGGTGTTCCCTAGCTATCAGAGGTGCTGACTCTTCATTACCAGAACTCATGGCAACACTTTCTCTAATAACTTGTTCCTTTTAATGTGTGAATGATATTGCTTTCTTCAAGGAATATATTGGACTCTAGAAAGCGAATTCTCTTGGAATATTTGGTGGTTCTTTATTCAAGAACACCTCATTTTCTTCAAAGGCGAGAAACTTCCAATAAAAGTGCCTTCATACTAGCTTTTTCCACATGATTTTTTTTAAAATTTTGGACGTAGGACTTTCCTACAGACGGCGCCAATCTATTGATCCCATTTTTCGCAATGGTTACGTGGATAATAGATTCCGGGCTCATCGGGTCCATGCAAGCAAATTTAAACATGTTTTGATCGGAGATTCAAACGAAAAACAATGGCGTTTACGGAACGTGGGAAATGCTCTACGACGCGAGGCAAAAAATGTTCGAGCACCAGCAATAAGATCAAAGTTGATTGCGTATAAACAAACAATCATAAACAACCCAACAAAACTGGAAGTTATCTAAACTTAAGCAAATAAATATGGAATAAACGAGAGATAAGATTAAGTGTGGTTTCAAGTGGAAAGAGTTGCATTATTTTCAAATGAATTACAAGAGTCGCCTATTTTTAAAGTTCTAGCCGACGTAATAGTCGTTGGATCAAAACCACATGACCTAAGGTCGGATTCTCATATCACTCTGTATGTCATACATTTAATACATTGATAATGAATTAGTCGCCCTACATCCGAGGCTGATAATCCCGACATTTATTAATATAAACGTTACATTAATCATTCCTAGAAATTGTATGCGATCCCTTAAAAGAAATCAAGTGCTTCAGCCTAAAAGAGAGCTTCAAATGGGGAATGTGTTTCGACCAAAGAGAGCTTTAGATAGAGATAGGGCTTCGACCATACAAGAGCTTAGGAACAATGAGACCAGCTTCTTCTTTGACTTCATTATTTTGACCAATTGGATTTTTATTGACTTGTCAGGGGTCCAAGTGTGATCTCCACTAGAGCCTCGGTGTTGAGGCGTAACATTTAGTTAAGCTACAAAATAGATTAAATTTTGACCATACATTTATGGAATCCACAATTTTCTTACCATATAGTTCTTCATCTTCTATTAAAATTTACTAAAAAAATTATTTTCATCCAAATCAAACATAACATAATCTTACAAGGGGCAACGGAATTATGAAATTTAAGGTAGGGAAAATTGTAGTGGAGGTCTCAGGCCTTTCAAAAAAGTGCAACACGGTCCTAAATATTTAAATTATTTTGCCCTTTTAAAGATGACCAAATTATAGTCGAATGCTTGATTTTTAGTCAACTAACAGAATCTTGGAAGGAAATTGTTCACATGTCATTCTATTATACAATCTTAAAGGTTTGTAATGTATCTACTATGATTCAAAAATTTGAGACCATTCTGCTCCCTTTGAAAGATTTGAGACCCTACTTCAAATTTCTCTAATTTTAATTACTTCAATGACTTAAAATCAGGGGCGGAGCCAGCCCTTCAAATTAGGGGAGTCCCGGAGTTGAAGAGGCCGGGGCTCATGTGGGCTGCCCCCAAAATTTTTTTTGAAACATTATCTGCTAACAGAAGGAAAGTTGGTACTTTGTGATAGAAAAATAAAACACATTAACATAAATTAANGGTACTTTGTGATGGAGAAATGAAACAAATGAACATAAATTAATGTACGAAGATTTCACAAAAAAATCAAGAAACATATAAAAGAAATTACTAATCTTTTGAAATACTTCTCAATCACTGAGCATGAGGATTGAGGAAATTCTTTCACTCATAATTGATAAATAATACAACTTCACAAACAACTGAATGGGTTGGATTAGAAGATTAAAAAAAAAAATTTCACGCCAAAAAAAAAAAAAAAAATTTCAAAAAATTGGGGGGGTCCTGACCCCAAGGACCCCCTCGCCTCCGTCCCTGCTTAAAATTTTGAATAATGCTACTCAAACGGGGTGTGAAACAGGCCAAAAAACAGAAACCTCAGCCCTTGATTTGAACTCAAAAACAGGCCTCCGCCCCTGCTTAAAATTTTGAATAATGCTACTCAAACGGGGTGTGAAACAGGCCAAAAAACAGAAACCTCAGCCCCTGATCTGAACTCAAAAACAGGGGGCTGAGGTGCCTGTTTTTGGGCATTTTTCCCACCGTGTTTGAGTAGCAGGTTCTAAAATTTTCAACTGTCGGCGGAAATAAACCCGTAGACCAACCATAGCCTATGAAGCATATTCCTCTTAGGACAAAAGCAGCCTAAGATATTACAAATATCTAGTCTTAAAATATTGCGAATATCTGAAAAAAATCACATCTCGTGCCCGTCACGTGAATTTGACCTAACAACTCGCACACCTCGATCCCTCCCCCAAACAGTTAAATACTCTTCTCCACTTTGTTTTCTTCGAACAAAAGGTCCCCCACCAACCTCCTCACTTTCGTATACATCTGCACTTCACACTTTCTGTTGTTTGTTCAAAAATCACAAGGTTCATTCTTCTTAATTTTCTTTTCTCTTTATACATCTGCATGCACGTGTATTAATCGGAATCTTAGATCTGATATAGTTACATTTCGCTAACCCAGATTTGTTTTTTTGTGTGTGTGTTTTAATTTGAAAAGAGAGATGGGTAGCTCAGGATTTTCATGGAAACTGAACGATCACCCAAAACTGCCCAAGGAAAAAATCATATCAGTGGTGGTTTTGGATGGATGGGGCGAGGCCAAACCGGATCAGTACAACTGCATCCACGTTGCAAAGACTCCAACTATGGACTCCCTCAAAAATGTAATATAGTAAATAATAGTTTGTATATAATAAATTTTCTAATTGTTTTCTATTTTTACTAGATTGACTTTGTTTTCTAGAATGATCTGGGATTGATTTGTTTATTTCTGCTGTGGAATAATTGTTGAAGGGTGCGCCTGAGAAATGGAGATTGGTAAAGGCGCACGGTAAAGCAGTGGGGCTGCCTACAGAAGATGACATGGGCAACAGTGAGGTTGGTCACAACGCTCTTGGTGCTGGCCGGATTTACGCACAAGGGTGAGCTTCATTTTATTTTTCATCATTAAAGCCTAAAGAAGAAAATAAGCCCCAAAACATAAGATTTGAACTTGTACATAACCTTAATCTATTTAGGGATTTTATGATATGTGGCGAATGCAACAGACGATAGGAGCAGTAAGGTTCTAAAAAGCACTTTATCTACGTGTAATCTCGGCTTAGAGTGGGGTAAATAATTTTTAGAATAATGATTGATGGGAGATGTGTGGTTGAAAAGTTTTTGATTTGTGTGTATTATTATTTTATTTGATGAATGTATGGTTGAGATGAAGAGATAGAAAAAAATTAATGTAATGGAATGTAATATAATGGGGGCCAAACAGGGGAGTATTAATGTGTTTCATTCATTTGCCTTTGACCTTATGTGAGTCACTCCAATATGTGAAAGCGAATTAGCGTTAGAAATTTAGGACTAAATGGAGCAGTCTTTAGATTTCAATGCAACTGGCAAGAGTTTGATGATGAAGATATGGTGGACCGACACTAATTCTTGTCGAAGACACTGATCAACGAGTAAACTAAAATGAATGTATAAGTTTGATGACCATCCATGCAAAAAAATTCAGGTAGAAGCTTTTAAGATATTTGGTTTGGCATTTTTGGGAGCAACTTCCCAGTATGCTCATGACTTCTGCTACAAGAATGTTGAACTGTCAAAAGAAACAATTTTTATTCAAAAAATGTCTCAATGTACAAATCAAGAGGAGCATTAGTTTTGTATGCTACTAGATGTATAAAATGCTCATTGAAATTATCTTCATTTTGATGTGGTGAAGCCTAAGAATGTTTAGATGTAATCATTGTAGAAAATAGAATGGTGAGATTGTTTGCACGTTGTGCGATTGCAATTTTATAATTTTGTTCCTCTCTGTTTAGAGTCCCAACAATTATTAAGTCAACAAGTCCATTTGTCTTTTATTTGTGTAGCCTAGATTATACCTAAAATATGGAAGGACTTCTTTATCCTGTGCACTTAGAAGGGTATAATAAAGTAACTTACTCCGTTTTATGCATCTTTGTCAGAGCAAAGCTTGTTGATCTAGCTCTTGCCTCTGGAAAAATATATGAAGGAGATGGTTTTACCTACATTAAGGATTCTTTTGCAACTGGAACATTGCACCTTATTGGGCTACTAAGTGATGGAGGTGTCCACTCTAGACTTGATCAGTTGCAGGTATGTCTATCTTCTGAAAGTCACCATGATTTTGTCGATCCAATAGATATTAGTTTATTCTTCCTTCAATCTTTCTCATAATAATTATTATATTAGCCGTTTCACTTTTTAGAGAAACTATATCTAATTATCATACTGGGGTGCAGCTGTTGCTAAAAGGTGCTAGTGATCGTGGTGCCAAAAGAATTCGAGTTCATATTCTCACTGACGGACGTGATGTGTTGGATGGCTCAAGTGTAGGCTTTGTGGAGTCTCTTGAAAATGATCTTACAAAGTTGCGCGAGAAAGGTATTGATGCCCAGATTGCATCTGGTGGAGGTCGTATGCATGTCACAATGGATCGTTATGAGGTAGACTGATTCTGTTTGTTATTTCAACAATAGTTATCCTTTCAGACTAAAACTTATGTATTACAAAGTATATTATATGGCATTAGTATTCTATGTTAACTGCTAGTATAAATGGGTTTCTCTATGGCATGGTTTTTTTTGGTTAACGTTGAATGTTGTAATTCTTTTGGCTGGGAAATGATTAATGCACATGGATTTTGCTTTCATTTGGGTGGGTAGACCTTAATTTTGTAGGTTGCTGTATTTCTTTCTTAGCCCAGGTTTATCAAAGCTTATAATTGATTATAAGTTTGCCAAACTCTATTTTTATCCACTCATTTAGTAGGATCCACAAATTTTACGTACTTTTTAACCACACATTTTTCGAGATCCATTACTTATGATCAATTATAAGCTTTGACGAACATGGGCTTAGGTGTTTCTGCTTTGATTTTATTCTCTTGATTCTGTCTTGACTTTTCAAACTCGAAGTAAAACAAGCTTTTTGTTTGTGTTTTGCTTCTTTGGGATTTTGTTATAACATTAATGTCTCTTTCAGTAGTTGATGTTACTTTTGCTTCTCTTGATATTTATTGGAGCTTAAACGTTTTCTCATCCATCTCAAACATTCAAGAAGTGTAATCATTTTGCTAATTGTTATACTACATAGCAAAATTTCCTTGTTATTAACCAACATTTTACTTTTTCTTGGTTAGTCAAGCTGCCATCTTAACAAATCAATGTTTCTGTTTCTTGTGTCTATCCAGAATGATTGGGATGTTGTGAAACGAGGTTGGGATGCCCAAGTGCTTGGAGAAGCACCACACAAGTTTAAGAGTGCCGTTGAAGCTGTCAAAAAGCTGAGAGAGGATCCTAAGGCAAATGATCAGTATTTACCAGCATTTGTTATTATTGATGATAGTGGAAAGGCTGTTGGGCCTATTATAGATGGTGATGCTGTTGTTACTTTCAACTTTCGGGCTGATCGTATGACTATGCTGGCCAAGGCTCTTGAGTATGAGGACTTCGATATATTTGATCGAGTTCGGTTTCCGAAAATCCGTTATGCCGGAATGCTTCAATATGATGGTGAATTGAAACTTCCCAGTCACTACCTCGTGTCTCCTCCAGAAATTGAGAGAACATCTGGGGAATATTTAGTGCATAATGGAGTTCGGACTTTTGCTTGCAGGTGAGTCAGAGATAGCTTAATTTACCACGTTGTTTGTCATTGCTCTGTGTGTGATACGCACAGAACTCAAGAAGAAACCATTTATACCACACCGGAAGAACAAAGAATTCATAAAGGAAATTATATTGAATGACTGGAATTATTTGAAAACAACCAAGCATTCGAGAGGCTTGGAAACTCTCCAAATTGAGTGAGCTCAACACTAAATAATACTCTTTTTCATACCACCTCAACACAGCCTCCCCACTCTTTATATTCTCGTCACTCCTACTATGCCATAACAGAAAACCCGTATCCCCCCAAACAGAATTCCAAACTAACAGAAATTACATAATAGACCCCTCACTTATCTCTAGTCATTCATTACATTTATTTTCCCAGAATTCCCAGAATTGCCCCTGCGTCTCGAATAAGTGAAACGCACCGGTGGCCTAACAGTGTGCACGTGTGTATATATATTAAAATCATTTTTTGCATTGGAAAATTGAAAATCACGATAATATTATTTTTCTATGGTAAATTATTATTATTGGACAAGTAGTACCGAGATTTTCTGTCAGAGCTTCCTAGACTTACGGATTGGTTTTCATTTCACATAACAGTACTTTTGTTATTTGTAATGGTTTTTGACAGTGAAACAGTAAAATTTGGCCATGTTACATTTTTCTGGAATGGAAATCGCTCAGGATACTTTAACCCAAAAATGGAAGAGTACGTTGAAATTCCAAGTGATTCTGGTATTACCTTCAATGTCCAGCCAAAAATGAAAGCCTTGGAGATTGCTGAGAAGGCAAGAGATGCTATCCTTAGCCGCAAATTCCACCAGGTTTGTGCTGCACTTTAAAGTAGCTGATGAAGCACAACATTAATATGAGTCCTACATTTTGTATTAATTAAGTTTCCTTTTCTCGTAAGGTACGTGTTAACTTACCTAATGGTGACATGGTGGGGCATACCGGTGACATTGAAGCAACAATTGTGGCGTGCAAGGCTGCTGATGAGGCTGTCAAGGTAATTGTTGGTTCTGATATTATTTTGCTCTTCACAACCACCTGCATTATGTCAATTCAAGTTCTTTCCTCTACATTTTTGGAAACCTACATATATATTATCCCTGCATACACAACACTGTATACTGTTAGATTCATGGCATGATGCTGGAATTTGAGCTTTTTTATCCTTCGTGGTGCTACGCTTACTAGCTTTTAATTGTATTTCTATAATTTGATAATCTGCACTTAAAACTGTATTCATTGATCTGAGCAGATGATCCTTGATGCAATCGAGCAAGTGGGTGGCATATATGTTGTGACTGCTGATCATGGCAATGCTGAGGATATGGTGAAAAGAAACAAGAAGGGTGAACCTCTTCTTGACAAGAGTGGCAAGATTCAGATACTTACTTCTCACACACTTCAACCTGTAAGTAATCTAAAAGCTTATTCTAAAACTGGGGAATATAATAAGAATGTAGATAGTGTGTATGAGATGCTAAGAGCCATAATGGACTGTTCCAAGCAGTTTCCCTATGGATTGCAGGTATTTTATCTGTTGGGAATAAGGCATAATTTTTTGTTCTTGTTTGTTATTTCTAGCTGAGCAAGTTTCTGGATCACATCAGCATCGAGTTTGTTGCTCATGTATTTATTCTCGTCAGAAAACTTTGACAATATTTTATCTGCACATAAAAGAGGGGTTAACATGTGAAAATTCGGTGAATTTGGAATGCAAATATCTTCAAGATTGTTTTCAGAAGTTACATAAACTAAGCAGTTAGCTCTTTTCTCCGTTGACAAGGCTATCAGTTTATATGTTGTTTGGATTCCAGTACTTGTGCTGTTGAGTCAGTCAGTTCAATCACAGCTAATGCAAATATATTTGGATTTTGTGTAGGTTCCTATTGCAATTGGTGGTCCTGGATTGGCACCTGGTGTCAGATTCCGCGAAGATGTTCCTGGTGGTGGGCTTGCCAATGTCGCTGCCACCGTGATGAACCTACATGGATTCGAGGCACCCAGCGATTACGAGCCAACCCTTATTGAAGTTGTTGACAACTAGGCCATCAAACATCACTCCAAGATTTTGACAGCAGGAAAAAATGCTTCGAATGGACAATATTTATTACTTTGAATAATTACTTGTGATTTTACCATTGGATATTCTGATTTTTCACTAAATCAGCAATGCGTATTAAAGCACTTATCCATTATTGAGCTGTATGATTGGTAATGAAAGATTTGAAAGTTTTGCTTGCTTCTTTGCTTTTTATTTTTTTAATAATCGTTAAAAATACCAAATCCACGATCCAAAGCTGAATGAAAATCACGAGTTCATTCTTAGTGTAAAAGTTTGATAATCTCATCTTTAAATACATGGGATTTTCAGTTCGATAAACATCCATCAGCCATGATCAATTAACATGTGAGATGATAGACACGGTTATGTATTAAGAATGCTCGTACTCGTACATTGGTCGGAGTCACTGAGCCTCTAGACATAGCTTAACTGTAGTTTTTAGGTTAGCTCCTGTTTGACACCCATTTTGAAGAAAAAATAAATTTTGGAATAGTGATTGATGGAAGAATGTGTGGTTGAAAAGTAATGAGAATTTTTGGGTTTATGTGTAATATTATTTTATTGACGAACGTGTGATTGAAATGAAAAAAAAACAGAGANCATGAGGTGGACCCCACATGAATAAAATTCTTTTTTTAATCATGCGGGGTCCACCCCATGTGAGAGGGTGGACACCCTTATGTTCAAGAAATTATGTACAAGTAGCATATTTACAAAGAAATGACATTACATCTACTCCCAAAAGGGCGTCTTGTCTTAAATCTTGGTGTAGGTGACTTCATGTTTATAAACCTTTTATAAACATTTGAGTAACTTTTTATTTATACATTTCGATAGATTCATAAGTACTATCTACTTATTCATCTATTTATAATTTAATTTGTTTATAAATGTTCATCAAACATATGCAAATGAAACAACATTCACTTGTAAAGTAAAAAGTAAGTACATTTATGTTGTTTCTTCCTCTCCTCTCCTTTCCAAGTTCTGAGAGTAAATATAAGTGCGAGTGCGCATGCATATATGTTTCTGAATTTTCGACAAAAATGAGAGAGAACGAGATGATGGGGTTCACAAGTGTGAGACGGGATTTGAATGCTTTCGCCAAAGTTGTTTGAGACATAAGTTTCTTGTTGGAACTACATGATCATCCTATACCAACTTGAAAACCTAGATGTTCAGTAATTTAAGAAGTAGAGTATGGAAATTCGTGACTTATTAAATGCAATCACTGTAAATACATTCAAATCGAGAAATCTGTGACTTGCTAAATGTAATCATTAAATCGAGTTGATGGTAACATCCATACTCAAATTTAAATCTAGAGATTGTGTGGCCCAAATATCAAAACAAAGATAAGTAGTCTCCATTTAAGGTTGGATGAAACAGGGTTTGGTATGTATTGATTGAATTGTGTTTACAAATTTAAACATGACGTTATTTGATTATATTGTAAGATAAAAATCGAATGAACCAAAAACGACTAGTTTCAGGTTACGCGACCCATTAAATTGTTATTTATTAATTATTCCTAGATTCCCACGAACAAATGCAAAAAACGTCATCAAAATTCACAAACGAGGTACCTATGATACATAACAAATTATAAATTTTCATTTTCCAACCAAGAGATATTTTGGAGATTGACTCATTTCAATTTTTAAACTAAAAATCCATAATCGAGACTAATTATAAGATTCTCAAATATAAATCACATATACTGTTTTTGTACGAAACTAATCCGTAACACGTGTGTTTGATTTTGTTTTAATTTCAGTTTCAAGAATTTATACTCGTATTTTCCTTACTCACTATGATACAAGTAATTTGTACGAGGCTCTCGCGTTTACATTCCCTCAAAAGAGATTTTTGTCATGTTAGTTTAAAAATTTATTGAATACCTCTACTTGTACACAAGGAATCATATAAAGTTTTACAAATAGACGATGTGTCAAAAATAAAATTTCGATTTTTTTTAAATTTAGTTGAAGAAATTTTGATACAATCACATTTTACCACATCACGTGTATATATACCAATTTTTAGGTTGTGGTGTACATGTAGTAAAATAAAAAAATATTTATAAATAAAATTCGCTTGCATAAACCAATTTTTTTCTCTGTTTCATACACACACCACAAACTTGATAAAAGAGCCGATAATGCACATCTCTGTATTCCCATTCCCCACGCAACAGCAAACCCAATACTCAATACATATTTATCCATTTAAAATCTTTTTATTGTTTCTAAATTTTCAATTTCATTGAAATCCAGTGCTGTGCTTGATTGTTACCTAATTGAGACATTACTACATTAACTTTCCGGACAAAAAGGAAAAACCGTGGAAAATTGTTTCTTTATGTATCCTGGATATATCCTTTAACCTTTCCCTATTTCCATTCGGCGCCTCTGCTTTTCATTGCCGCGATCCGAACATCCAAAGAATTGGTTTCTGGGTTTTTGAGATTCTCTGTTAATCAATTGATAATCTTGGTATTTCCCAATTTCTCTGTTTTATTTAATTACTTGTTTTTGGGTTTTGATATGGGTTTAATTCTCCTGTTGCCATCTTTTCTTTTGAAAATTATGGGACAGACTTTTTCAATGGTCACCATTTTTCGGTTTTGCCTGGATTCGGTTGGATGGAAATTAGATTATCATCTAAAAGAATCTAATGCTTTTCTTATGTGGGATTATATTGAAATTCTTGCTTCTACTTTTAGGGTGTTTGCTTGCTCAAATACTAGTAATTTAGTACGTGAAGTGGTTTCAGTTACTCATCATTTTTTCCAGACTGCTAGACTGTTTGTGTGAGTTCAATTCTCTTTTGCCATTTCATTTTCATGTTGATAATTTCATAAAGTGAGGTTTCAGTTTGTCATCGTTTATGATTCAATACATGCAATGTTACTGATGTATATTTGATTCACACAAACTGGGTTGCGATATCAACTTGCTATGTTTGTTCAATTTTCAGCTGAGTTGTAGAAGCGGCAATTTTATCTTTGGATGGGTCTAGGTTTCTGTGCCTGTTTCCATGCTTAATTTCTAGAAACCTGGCAAATGAACATACAAGTGGTCGGTTTGGAAATGTGAAACATTATACAAATGATTATTAAAATTTGTCAGATCGCTAATCATTAAATTTTGTCCAGATCGTACTCCAAATATAAACAAACTTAAGACGATAGGGTAATGGTAGAAGATTAATTAAGATAGTGTAATAGATTGTCACAACTGTGAATTTTCTGAAGTTTCAGGAGTGGGGTTATAATAACTATAAATAAATTTCACCGAAGATTTCTACTTTCGGTGAAAAATGTCTGATATATATTGTTCAAGTAGCATTTTGAGTCGACTCTACATGCCGTCTTGGAGTAATATTTTTTCCTCTTAGGGTGAACAAGTTTGTGGAAGTAATGTCAAGCCTAGAGTTTTGTGCTTGGTTGCTTCCAAAATATTTTTCTGGACAATTGATGAGGAACTAAGGAATTATTGTATATGTTTTTATGGTAATTGTTATTGCCTTAGGACTTACTAATTGAGTGCTGCAACATAGTTAGTAATTGACCGGCTGTTCATAAAATAGAGGATTAATTTATTATTATAATAGTTACTCAAGTTTTACACTGTTACACTAGTGGGTTTGATCTCTTAAAAACAAAGATCAAAGAGCAATACATCAAAGTCTCAAAGTAGCCAAGTGATATATAGGCACTTTGATCGTTGATGGACGGTAAATGT